TAATAGTATATTTGAAAATAAAAATATATTTTATAACTATTTATTACTTTTAACTGATTTTAGTTATTTTTTTATACGCAGAATAGCTATTTGAAACTTATAATTAGTATAAGGGAGTAATAATGTACTACCTCCCATCTTTAAATAGAGGAGCTAAAAACGAGTCTACTTTGTTATGTTTCTCAACGTAAGATCTCAAAACCAACTTTATCTCCAAAATTTAAATATTTTTAAATTTTATCAGAAGATAAATTACAATATATATATATATATATATATGATTAAAAAAAGATATTTTTTTAAAAAAATAATACCACTCGTTCTGACTTGTACTGAACCACTGGTTCTGACTCCTGCAAATATTCCGTGTCCCTGGTCACATCTATCTATGGACTTTATTTTCTGGTTTTTAATATTTGTTGCTGAGCTATTTATAGCCAATAAATCCTGTGCAGTAATAATCCATACTAAAGTATATTCTATACAAAAAAAATATATAAATAAAATTATTATTAAAATTCAAATTAATCTTTTTTAAATTTAATTGAACAAATTATTATTCAAAACTAATTAAATCAAACCATTTTATAAAACTTAATTTCAAAATAATAATAACTAAATATTTGAAATAACATTAACAATGTAAAAAATTAATAATATTATTAGCATTATATAAAAATTTAAAAATACAAAGAAAATATAAAATGACTTAAACAAATCGGTCCTTAGTCTTCAACTCTATAAGACTAGTTCTTTTAAAGCCGTTTTTCATTTGAGGTGTTGGATGAAAAATATTATCTTAGGATATTAAATATTATTAAAAAAATACTTGAAAACGTCAATTATAGATAAAAATTAGTTTATGGCACTCAATGAATAGTAGTGGAGACGTACTACTTTAAAGTATTGAATCACTCAAATATATATGCTTGTGGCGGACAGAATGGTCACAACTTACGAGAGATGAGTAAAGTTGCAACGGAGAGATATGATATGCAAAGTCAGTAGTGAATCGACACATAGATAAAAGGGGCAGTCTGATTGTGAGAAAGATGATCCAATAGTGTCTCCTCTGAGCCATGACGTTGACTCGTCCGATGGAGATCGATCCGCAACCAAAGTTCTATTGCATTCTTCATACTGCCTTTAAGTACCTCCAATGGGAGAAGTTTCCTTCTTCACTTTGAATTCTCATGTGACCACCTTAATTATTCCACCCTCTTGTACGTCTAAATCTCTGATTCTCACATCCAAACAAAAGCTTTTAAATGAAACCTTCAGGCGAAACAAATAGTTATTGCTCGAGGGATAACACCAATTCATATAGCAAAAAACACGCTTAATTGGAAGAAGACTATGCTTTAAACATTGAAAATATAAAAATTAGTCCCAAATTTAGAGTAATTTGAGGATATCATATACTCCTCTGCTCTTAGTTATAAGGCAGAGAGAAAAGGTTTCTTTTGTCCTATTTATAAGTCACTTCATTAAATTTTCAGTGTGAATGTACTATTTTGTGATTTTGTCCTTCATTTGTTATGGTGTAAATAGTTATCTTTTTTGAAATGTGTATATATTAAATATAGATAAAGTTGAAACTTTGTTATATTTTAATGGAGAGTTAATATATTTTAAGATTTTTCTTAGTCTATATGAAATATATTGAAAATGCTTTATAAATAGGACCAGAAGAGTATTTAACACCGAAAAAGGTATGTGCATTGCTCACTTTTTATAAATATATATTACTCCATTGGATAAAGATTTAAATTTGAGAACGAGTGTGATTCATTTTATAAGTTTAAATTTGGATCTGTCTTTAATATTTAATGAATTTTTAAATTTAACCCATAATTATTTATTCTCATTCATTTGTCACACATCCTCGTTACATTCCTCTATGTATTTTCTTTCATTTTTTCTGATTTATTAGAATGGTATATTTAAAAATAAAAATATATTTCTTACCTATTTATTATTTTTAACTGATTTTACCTATTTTTTTGTTATATTCAAAATAGTTGTTTGAAGCTTATAATGAATATTAGGGAGTAAAAATCTACTACCTCCCATCTTTAAATATAGGAGTTAAAAACTAGTTTACTTTGTTATGTTTCTCAACATAAGATCTCAAAACCAACTTTATCTCTAAAATTTAAATATTTTTAAATTTTATCAGAAGATAAATTACAATATATATATATGATTAAAAAAAGATATTTTTTTAAAAAATAATACCACTCGTTCTGACTTGTACTGAACCACTCGTTCTGACTCTTGCAAATATTCCGTGTCCCTAATCACATCTGTCTATGGACTTTATTTTCTGATTTTTAATATTTGTTCCTGAGTTATTTATAACCAATAAATCCTGCGTGCTAATAATCCATGCTGAAGTATATCCTAAACAAAAAATATATATTATCCCACAAGTTACTATTTAAAAATCAATTATATTTTTCATGCTAATTCAGTCCACTATCGGTTTTATGACACACAGCCCATTTATTAAGTTAAGTTGTAATAGCTAGCTAGGGTTCCAGGGATCTCCAGCTATTATAGCTAGGGGCTAACTCTTCAATGAAATGAGAGCCCCATACCTAATTCCCATTTCAATTCTTAGGTTCTCTCCTCTTTAGCAGCTCTATTTTAATAAATACTCCTTTAATTCTATTTATAAGATACTTTCAATATATTTTATACAGATTAAAAAAAATCTTAAAATATATCAATTCTCCATTAAAATATAACAACTTTTCAACTTTATTCTTATTTAATATATGCATCTTTTAAAAAAGATAACTATTTATACTATAATAAATAAATGATAAAATAGTACATTCATAATAAAAATTTAATAAAATGACTTATAAATAGAACAAAAAAAACTTCTCTCTTTACCCTATAAATAGGATTAGAGGAGTATATATGAAGTATGAGAATAATGAACCTAGCAGTTAGTTACTTACAAAGTGTTAAATTAATGTTTGAATTCACACTAACAAAGATACTCATATATTTGTTAATTCTATTTATAAAATACTTTTAACATATTTTACACAGATTAAAAAAAACCCTTAAAATATATTAATTCTTCATTAAAATATAAAAACTTTCTAACTTTATCCTTATTTAATATATATATCTTTTAAAAAAGATAACTATTTACACTATAATAAATAAAGGATGAAATAGTACATTCACACTAAAAATTTAATAAAATGACTTAGAACTAAAAAAACCTTCTCTCTCTATCCTATAAATAGAATCAAAGGAGTATATATGAAGTATGTGAACATTGAACCTAGCAGTTAGTTACTTACAAAATGTTAAATTAATGTTTGAATTCACGCTAACAAAGATACTCATATATTTGAATGCCTCGAACATAATTATCTTTAATAAAAAATAATTACATCTAAAAATAAAAAAAGATGACATAACGAATAATTAATCATTAGTCTGCATGTAAGGGGGAAATTAATGAACACAGAGACCTCGGATCAGACACCAACAAAACCTTTTTGACACGCACCCCATTTATCAAGTAAAGTTGTAATAGCTAGCTAAGTAGTGTTCCAGGGATCTCCAGCTATTATAGCTAGAAGCTGACTCTTCAGTGAATGAGAGCCACATATTTAATTTCCATGGCAAGCAATTCTTAGGTTCTCCCATCTCTAGCAGCTCTATTTTAGCAAATATTTTTGCTTATATATGGGGTATGAGCACAATGAACCAATATTTTCAGGGCACAATGAACCCGTATGATTGAGTCTAATAGTAACGTTCGAATCCACATTAAAAAAAAGGCTATAACGTACTCCTTTACTTTTATTTATAAAACAGAGATAAAAGATATTTTTTAGTCCTATTTATAAAGTAATAAAAAAAATATTTTGTATGGATGTACAATTTCACAATTCATTTATTATTATGTTGAATTTATTTAAATGAAGTATAATGTACATTAAATAAAAATAAAATTTAAAAGTTGTCGAATTTTAAATGAGAGTTAATAAAGTTTTGAGATTTTTCTTAGTTTGTATGAAACATATTGGAGACGACTTATAAATAGAACCAGAAGAGTATATGATAGCAACTCGAATACAATTATCTTTAATAGAATAATAGTTATGCCTAGAAATAAAAAAAGGATCACATACTGAATAATTAATTATTAGTATATAGCATGTGAGGGGGAAGATTAATTTGTACACAGAGAGCTCAGATCAGACACCAACAAAACCTTTTTGGTCAAAATCTGTGGGATCATACATATCTAAAAGCAGTAATAGTAAGGAAGCGGCAATCTCATTTCCCATGGCGTTTTCAATAAATGATCGTCAGAATCTCCATTTTCCATACATCTCACTCTCAATTCAATTAATGTTACAAACTGCACCCACTATTCATTTGCTCTTCTTGCCTCATATATATGTACATGCACATATATATATATATATATATATATGAAGAAATATCTAGGCGAAGAAGCTAAGGATTTTTTTTACATTATTTAAGGTACCACATGCATGCTGTCCTCATCAGCTATTATAACTCATGATCTTCTGTAGCTTTCAGATTTTCAACCTCTGATGAACACACTCATTAATTAAGATCCTAAAGTAGTGGTGTCCTCTGATTATTGCTCCTCCGTTCCCTCTCTCTTTCTTTCTTGCTTTTGCCTACTTTGGACAAGAATCATATATACATATATATATATATATATATATATATGGCCCATATATATATTGGGGTGAAGAGGGAATGGAAGCATCGTGCACACGCGCGCGCGCGCGCACATATATATATATAAGTGGGGCACTTAGCATGAAGCTCTTCAAGATGCTGCCAACTGTCCTCCTTTACCTGCCACGTAGCAATCCTTATCTCTCCCCACGTGGCTCTCCCAATATGGGTCGTCTTTCTCCCTCCTTATATACCCCCGCTTCTTCCCCTCCTTGATCTCCTTTCTTCATTCACACACGAGCTCGCTCTCTCTCTCTCTCTCGCCCCACCCTCTCTCTCTATATAAACTATATATATATAATTGCATACCCTTTGTCTTCTCAATATATCACCCTCAATCCTCTCACACTGTACACAGCAAAAATAATGCCAACACCACCACCAACCGCACCGTTTGGTGCTCCAGAAACTCCCAATGCACGCTCCTCATCCTCTCCTCCTTTATTATCTTCCTCTTATCCTATCACTCTCAAGGTACTGTTCGCTAATCCATGTTCATATTGCACTCTTTCTTCCTTATATATATTCAACATCAAGTATAATTATGCAGACTAATTGATCTCCTGTTTTCCCACGAATGGTTTGATTTAGAACACTGTGTGATCGAATTTTCTGGGCTTATTTATTCATTCATGCAGTTCGTGGACGTGGGATACAGAGTAAAGGTTGATAGAAAGAAAGGAGGGAGCAACATAAAGCGAATGATCTCGTCGCTTTCCGACGGGGGAACGACGGCGCAAGAGAAAATCATTCTGAACGGCGTGACGGGGATGGTTTGTCCGGGAGAAATCCTGGCGGTTCTCGGCCCTTCGGGGAGCGGGAAATCGACCCTCCTAAACGCACTAGCCGGGAGACTCGTCCAAGGGCAGGGCCTCACCGGAACAATCCACGCGAACGGATGCAAACTGAGCAAATCGATTCTCCGGCGAACTGGATTCGTGACTCAAGACGACGTGCTTTATCCTCATCTCACCGTCCGAGAGACCCTTATCTTCTGCGCACTTCTTCGTCTTCCCAGAACACTCTCGAAAGAAGAGAAGATATCGATGTGCGAGTCGGTGATTAGAGAGCTGGGGCTGGGGAAATGCGAGAACACGATCATCGGAAACGCGTATATTCGAGGGGTATCAGGAGGAGAGAGGAAGAGGGTGAGTATAGGGCATGAGATGTTGATGAATCCGAGCTTGTTGATACTGGACGAGCCAACTTCCGGGTTGGACTCGACGGCGGCGCACAGGCTGGTGACGACGCTGACGACGGTGGTGGCGCAGCAGAAGGGGAAGACGGTGGTGGCGTCGATGCACCAACCGTCGAGCAGGGTGTTTCAGATGTTCGATAAGATTTTGGTGTTATCGGAGGGACAGTGTTTGTACTTCGGAAAGGGAAGCGAAGCCATGAGCTACTTCGAGTCGCTCGGATTCAAGCCGTCTTTTCCCATGAACCCCGCCGACTTTCTGCTTGATCTCGCTAACGGTACGTCGTCGTTTTCTCCTTCTTCTTCTTCTTGCCCTTTTTATGTCTGCTTGGTTTTTACCGTTGGTCTTTGTTTTTTTCCCCCCGGTCATGATGATAATGATGAGTCATAATTTGCTGTTTGATGTTTTGAGGGTGTCATAGATTATTTTCTTTTTGCTTCAAAATCTAAATGGTAAAAAATTTAAATTTAAATTTTTGGCCATCGATTTATTTTTAATGTAAAGGAATTAGGTAAAAAAAAAAATACAAAAACCACTTTATGATATGAATGGGACCTTTTTTGAATAAAGACTACTACACAGGGAAGAATCTATTGGATTTCAGGATTTTGTAAATAAAAAACACAAACAAAATATTAAGCCACGTTTTAGCCTGATGAGAATATTAGGCACAAGATAAATGGGGGGACAAGGGGGTAATAGGTAGGTTTATGTAGGTATGAAGAAATAAGTATAATAAATAAAACTTTGATTGATTGATTAATTAAGGTGATTAAGAAGGACAACATGATGTGGGCACACATAAATATTATGTGATTTCTTGGATCATCCCATCCTTGTCATAATTGCTAGCTATATGGAACAACGCTTTTTTGATTGATGATTTATTTATATATTAACATTATCCCTTTTAATGCATACATATATTTCAAGAGACATAGACATAACAATAAATCTCTACCACTTTAGGATTTGAGGGTGACCAGAAGATAAGAGTTTCAGAGCGTGTAGAAGAATAAATATCCAGCATTTAGATGGGACCATGATGATTTTTTTCTTAAATAAATGATTCTGGGAGCGTCCAAAAATTACTACCTCCGGTCCTTAATATAAGACCCCGTTTAACTTTTAGTTTGGTTCTAATTATAAGACCCCAATCCATTTTATCTCTCATATTTATGCATTTTTTTCCAAGATAATCCTTCTAATAATGATAGTCCTAACCAATACACTTAATTAGTAAGGATATTTTAGGAATGACAACACTTATTTATTACAAATAACTAACCTAACTTACTTCCTTAATCTCCTCAAATTAGTCAACTGAGTCTTATAATTAGGACCGGAGGTAGTACTTTTTAAAAAAGATGTACCAATAAATTTCAGTCCAAATCATAATTTTGAAGAAGAACTGTTTTTGATTTTGGATTAGTGTTTAGATGAGTAGGAAGAAAAATCTTGGTTTTGATTGAAAAAACACTTTAAGTTTTTCTTTTCATTTCAAAGAAACGCTTTCGTATGAGACAAATCAAAACTCTTTTCTCGTATTTATCTCGTAATCTTTAAATCACTCTCAAAGAGCACTTTCAATAGTAATTTTTTTCTTCATAAAATCTATTACTGGATTTTATTTTTAAAAACTGATGGCATAATTGTAGAAGGGGGGAGGAATTGCTTGATATGGATACCACGTGTCCTCTTTCTCTGTGAATCACTGGCGTCACTTCACTACTTCATCACATCTTCCTTTGCGTCTGAGCCTTAGCCACAAATACACTGTTTTTGGCTTTGGCTCTCTTTCAAATACCAAATCGATTTGACTTTTCCTTATGTTTCTTCTTCTTCTTCTTCTTCTTCTTTCTTTCTTTCGTATTAAATTTTCCACACGGCCTTCCCTACGCAGTAACCACCGACTCCTCCTCCACCCAAATATAGCATCTTACAAACATCGATCTTCCCTTTACGCCAACTCTCTCTCTCTCTCTCTCTATATATATATATATGTATATATGTGTTTGTGTATGAGGGTTTTTTTTTTTTTTTTTGGGAGAAGGGAAATGACAGAATAGGTAGGGAGACCCACCTGAATTAAAAAACTCAAGAACAAGCTTTTCTTGGAAGGCTAGAAAAGGTGATGAAAGAGAAGGGAAATTATATTAATATGAACTTTTAAGAAAGCTTTAGATTTCTAATATATTATTTCTTAACCTTAATATAAAAGCTAATTTAACTTTTAATTTAATCTTATATATAAGACCTCAATTTGTTTTGTCTTTCATACTTGACAATTTAAAGTAATCTTTGTAATAGTTGCATATGTTTAAAAATCTATTAAATGATAATTTTAGCTAATACACATGATTAGCAAGAATATTTTAGGAAACACAATACCTGTTTATTATAAATAACTAACTTAACAAACTTTCTTAATCTACTCAAATTAGTCAGATAGCCCTTTATATTAAGCACTGGAAATAGTGTATGTATATATATAATGTTTGAATGACTACTGTGGATTTATTCCTTCTTTTGAAAAGAAATAAACAGAAGATGTGGTTTATGATCATACACTTGTACTTGTGGATAGGTCTGGATATTGTTGTCTGGTCCCTATTTTCCTTATAACCATATCTTTTTCAACATTATATGCTACGTCCATTTATATATAACATCCCATAATTTATATGCTTTACACCACATCCATTGGATTCCAAATTCCTTTTGTTGTCGTGCTGGAAATCAAATGGGAAGTGTTTGAATTATTAACTTAGTTTTATAATAACAAACCAATATAAACAAACTTGTTTTACAAAGACTTGAACAAGAGTACTCATGAATTGATTTTCATTAATTCCTTTGTTAGTGTGTTTTTAATGTGAAGATAATATGATGTTGATGTTCCTTTTTATCCTAAAAATCATAGTGAAAAAGGTTGGCAAAGCAACTTAATTGTAGATGTGTATGAGTCTTAAAGCAAGTTTTATATAGATAAAATTTATTAAAGCAGGAATTGATCACAAATCTAAACACATATAGACAGATACCTTAAATTATTGCAAAAGTATCCACTAGTTGGTGGGGATATTAAAGGTTTTGATCCATGCATCATAAAGAAAAAAATATATCAATAATGTTTTTAATTTTTTAAGTAAATACACATTTTTATTGTTCTTTGTTTCGTCTCTTTCCAAGTCCAAACATAATAAATTAATCTCACTAAAGCAATCAAGCATATAAATCAAAAGCCTTTCTCTCATTGAACAAGTCTCTTTCTTTTTGTTGGTCATACACACACATAGACGACATATATGTATAGATAATATAAAGTTGATAGCTAGCTAGGACTAGCTGGATTAGATCAATATACGTATCAAAGGAAAAAGTTCTTCAAAGGGGTCACACCAATTATATATATACGTATGTATACACATATAGTTTATGGTTAAAACTTAAAGAAGAAAAGTGGCAAAGAAAAGCTAAGAAGTTAATGCTCAAGCAATAATGGATCGTACTTACGTATCAGTGTTAACTATAGTGTTTTATCAGTATTGAATCACTAAGTATGGTCTCCAATTGATTAATAATAAAACAAAAAATAGTAGTAGTGCGAGGTAATATATTACTTAGTGCTGTTTGACAGGCCACTTTTTTTTTTAATTTATCTCAATTCTTAAAAAGCTTGTTGGGGGGGTTTTTGTGTCTCTCTTCTGATTGATTCTTGAGCACCGTGATTATATATATTTATATATAGTGGCTTTTGAGTTGATGACGACATTGATAGCGTGAGAAATCATCAAACTTAGGAGCATGTTGGTTAAAAAGTTTGAAAAAATTAATAATGAGGTATATCACGTTGGATAAAAAGCGGCACGTTGAATCAACCTCTGCCCTTGAATTAATTGGTGTGTCACTCATAAATAATTATAATCTTTGATTTGATCCACCATTGTGATCTTCAATTTTATTGGGAAACAAAAGTTCATGGGGTGTTCTATAATAGAGGTATTATTAAAGAATCATCATTGTCATCGTTATTTGTGTTTTCCGATATTTATATTCTCAGCATCATTACATGCATCTTAAATTAGAGATATTCATCTAGTCGGCCAAATAAGATTGAGACTTGAGTTGAATATTTATTAGTCTAAAGATTACTTTAATTCACATGCATGTATGACAAGTATTAAAGATTGGAAGCTTGAAGTGTTAATTTGATTTATTAAAAACTTGGTCAATTTGGTTAAAATTATCTGTTTGAAAATTTTGTTGCTCAGAGTAACTTATTTTCAACTTTAGTTACGTGCAAAAATATTTTAAAAAAAATAATTTGCATAGCTGAACACATGTTACACATAACTACAAAAAGAATTATACTTATTAAAGATGAGTTAGGCCTACTCAAATTCATGGTTTCTTTTAGGCAATAAAATTTTTGAACGGATACTTTTGAATAATTTTTTTTCAAAAAAATTGTATTTCTAATTAACAAGCAGTGGAATTACACCAGGATGTTCCATTTTCATCATTACACATGTCAAAATTTGACTACAATCATACTTCTTTTGAAAATGTGATGTGGTCATAGTCTCATGGATGATTCCCTTTTATGGTCACTTTATTTCCTTTCCTCACTTTTGAATTGCTCCAACTTTTTCAAATGTCTCATAACATATTAGAACCTGTTTGAATACTCCTACACGTGTTGGGCTGCCTTTAATTCATCCTCATAATGAAACATTATTGTTCTCCCCCAAAAGTAAACCTCAATTGACATAAAGTATTTGAATTAGACAAGGTTTGCAGAAAGCATATTGATATATATATATATATATATATATAGTCATATGCTTTTTATATATATATATATATATATATATATCAAGGTGGAATCAAGTGGTGGTCCGAACTTTGATATCACTTATGGCGCCATTATTCTTAGTGGAGACTCACTGTTATATATCTGTAACAGCAAAACACAAATCAGCTTTTGAAGCTCCACTAAGACCTAACATAATTCTGAGACTTGAGAATAATCAAATATTTAATCAATTAACTATGTTTGTGACACGTACATATGTTTCTTTGTGTGTGATTCTTTGATTTTTCTTTTGATCCAAGATTATTCTGTGAAAATATTCGGGCTGTTCATCCTATCCTACAGCTAGCTATCATGATGTAGATATAGATTATATTAGCTTTGCTAATAATTATAAAATCCCGTTTATAGATTACAAATGAGGTTTTATAATTAGGATCGAAAGTAGTATATATTTAATATTAATTGAATCTATACATTTGTGGAATTGATTGAGATAATTTGGTGCCTTTTGTTGATAAGGATGTTTCCTTTGGAAGATTGATCACTGTGGCTTGCTGGCTGGCTTCCTTCCTTTCTTATCTTACTGTCATAAAAGTCGAATAACCTATTATTCTTGCCAGCCAAAAGCAAACTAAAGCATTTCTTGTTCTTTTCTAAAACTTATTGATTCTTCCTTTTGTTTTCCTTTGCCCTCTATGTGGACCGGACACATGCATTATTCTCCTAGCATTTAGTAAAACCTTCTAGCTTGAAAATTTTATTGATAAGAAAGACCTGAAATTTGAAAGTACTTTTTTGGTTCTATTTATAGGGTGGACAAAGAAATTTTTCATATAAATGTAAAATTTGACTTTGCATTTAATATTGTGTTGACTTTGTTCTTATGGATATAATATATATTAAATAGAGAGAAAATTAAAAATTTGTTAAATTTTCAATGAAAGGTAATGAAGTTTAATTAAGGGTTTTCATGATCTATGTGAAAGATATTAAAAGTAATTTATAAATAGGAGCAGATGAGTATAAAATTTTTTTATAGTATACTAGTATTTTCTATATATAAAAATAGATTCAAGTCTTTCTGTCCAATAAATATTTTTAAATAGAGATTTTTTTCACTGATTCTGAGTATTATGTAGGTTTTTTTCCTTTCCACAGCAGGCATTTTAGTTTAAGGAAATGCATTTGCATAACTTAAGGGAGTGTTTTAGAAATAATTTTATGGTATTTGAGATAAATATGTGAGATAAATTGTATGTCGGCTTGTAACTTACATGAAAACACTTTTAATTAAGTGCTTCTAGGGTTTTCGAATTTGTGAAATGATTTTGAATCTTGGTGAATGAAATTTCTAGAATTTGCTGAGAAGATATTAATTGACGAAGCTTAATGTTGTTGTTTCCGAATGCAGGTGTTTGTCAGGTTGATAGTGCTGTAAGTGAAAGAGACAGGCCAAATATGAAGCAAACCCTAGTCAACTCTTACAACGCAATTCTAGCTCCCAAGGTCAAAGAAGCAATATTAAACCACACGGACACTTGTACAAAACAAACTCATCATCGTCATCATCATCAAACCCTAGAAATCACCAATTCCAAGGAAGGAAGATACAGTAAATTCAAGAACGTGAACACGACGATCTCCCTCTCTAACTGGTTTAACCAGTTCAGTGTCCTCCTCCACAGAAGCCTCAAAGAACGAAAGCATGAATCCTTTAACCCTCTCAGAGTCTTCCAGGTTCTCGCCGCCGCCTTGCTCGCCGGCCTCATGTGGTGGCACTCCGATTACCGGGATGTCCAAGACCGTCTCGGCCTCCTTTTCTTCATCTCCATTTTCTGGGGTGTCTTCCCTTCCTTCAACTCCGTCTTCGCCTTCCCACAAGACCGTGCCATCTTCCTCAAGGAACGAGCCTCCGGTATGTATACCCTCTCGTCTTACTTCACCGCCCGGATCGTCGGCGATCTCCCCATGGAACTCCTCCTTCCCTTCATCTTCCTCACCGTCACCTACTGGATGAGCGGTCTCCGGCCAGACCTATGGGCTTTTCTACTAACACTACTAGTCGTTCTCTTCTACGTGCTTGTCTCTCAGGGGCTGGGACTGTTCCTCGGCGCCGCCATAATGGACGCCAAGCAGGCCTCCACGGTGGCCGCGGTGGTGATGCTAGGGTTTGTGTTGATCGGTGGGTACTACGTTCACAAAGTGCCTTTGTGCTTGGGGTGGCTCAAGTATATGTCCGTTACTTTTTACTGTTACAGGCTTCTGATTTATATTCAGTATGGTGACGGGAAGAGAATCTCAGAGTTTCTGGGTTGCTTCAACAATGGCGGAATCGAAGACAGAGGACACTGTAAGTTTGTGGAACAAGACGTGGTGGGTCAGATAAACCCTTCGATAAGCATTGGGGCTTTGGTTATGATGTTTTTGGGTTATAGAATGTTGGCTTATCTGTCACTGAGGAAGATCAAGACCTGATGGAAGATCGATCTGGGAAGTTATTAATTATGAGGTTGATGAAGATAGAGAGAGAGATATTTGAGTCTTAATTCTGACACACAGGTTGGTGATGGTGATGATGATGATGATGAAGTAGATGCAGAAAGAAATGGAAATAGAAGGTTGAGATTTTTGGGGTTTTAGAGTTTAAATTAAGATTTAAGAGACTATGTACGTAGGAGCAGATTCTTACCAATTGTAAGTGAAGAAGAGAGGCAACATAAGTTTGAATGTTTAATGATGAAGAAGAAAATTTGATTCATGTACGTTTGGGGTTCAAAGTCCTTTTATGCATCTGTTTGTACCCAATATATTGAGGGAAGAAATGAAGAGATTTTTTCCCAGAAAAAAATTGGAATATGCAATGACCTTTGTAGTAGTAACTTTTTAACATCATATATAGAAGTTAAAAAAATATTTAAATTCCTAAAATCTTTTCTTTATTTTCCCACTCTCTCAATCTAAATGACTAATTTGTGAAAATTTAAAAAATTAGTTAAATTAGTTATTTGTAAAAAAACGTGTTGGTTTTGTTAAAATACCTTTGTTAATAATTTACATTGAAACTATCTTTTAATAGAAGTCTCCCTAATATATGCATTGATTGGGTTAGTTTGAGAAAAATTATAAATTTTGAAAAATAAAACGGATTAAATTTTTATATATTTAGGGTTAAAGTAATTTTTATAGACTAGTTATTGTATTAGACACTCGAGAGAGTATTTAAATTTAGAAAAAATCTTTAAAAAATACCTTTAAATTTTAAACTTGTAAATTAGTCTCATTTACTACACTTTAATAATAATTGACAATATTTAAAAAGCAAATGACAACACATTTTTGTAACCATTCATAATTTGGGATTTTGAAATTTTAAAATATTTTTTTTTGGGATTTTTCTTTAAATTTACTTTACACATGGTGCAGAGTAACCATTCAATCGGTCTTTCTCATTAACATTCTGTTCGAGTTGTTGAAATCAAATCATAAGGAATTTAAATTTATATATTAAAAGTAAAATACTAAACGCGAATTGTTAAAACTTGTTCAGAATAACAATAAAGAAAAGCTTTCCTATGAAAAACAAAGAATGTAGCCTATGCATGCAAACACTTAATTCATGATTTAAAATCTCAATTGGCGCAACTCTGAATGTAGTGTTTTATTTTTTGGAAAAAAAATCTTTTTTTTTTTTACTAAAGCATAGGTATCCTCCTATTAGAGGCAATTTTATTCAAGATACTGTCGGGTACTAAATGTGAGCACCCTCCTAGTAGGAATTCAAACTTTGGTTTATCACATTATGAGGAACTAATCCTTGTTGTGGAAAAAATATTTTCATCTAATGTAATAATCAACACACAAGGGACAGGGGTAGTGTTTGTATTGAGTGCTTTAGTCTCATTAAAAAAAAAAAAAAAATCCATAGCCCTTTGCCCCAAGGAATTGGGCCAGCCCGATTAGCCAGGCTAATTAAGGTAGGCCCAAATCACTGACGTCTTCTCAGGGTCATGTGGGCTTATCTCATATTAATAGGATAAAAGTTAAATTCATAGAAGAAAATAATAATACCCATTCCTCAAATCAGAAAAGAAGCCACAGATTGGGTTTTTTTTTTTTTTGACCGGCAAGCCACAGATTGGGTTTAACAGAATGAGTTAGTCCCTCACATCATGGTTAATCAAAATTCAAATTTTTGTTGGGAGATGTTTTTATATTTAGTATCTGACAATACCTCGAATAGGATTATTTTCAATAAAAAAATATCTATACTTAGTAGGAAAAAAAAACTCCGGATTGAACCATGGATTCATAAAGATAAATAGTGACGGGCCATACTCTTGACCGGGCTGGTTTGATGTTTCATCTTAGCCTTATTATTTGAGTTAGTCTCCGTTAGAACAATGCCTGAAAGGCTAATGACTTTACATTTTAGTCACATGAAGACTTCTTTTTGTAAATGAAAATATGTGAAGTTAATCTCTTTTATAATTTTAGGTCCCATTACATACGAAACATTAAAAATGAAGAATAAAGATTGGGATTAGAATTGAGAAAAACCATTAAAGAATATTTAGTATGAATAATTTTTGTTATATGAGATTAAGCAATTACATGTAGATAGGATAATAAATGCCACCTTCTTCCGTAGTATTCTTTAATCCCACATATATGAGTTTACTCAATCTCAAATAACAGCAATATTTCATATTAAACATTCTTTTAACATAACCACTGGCCGTTTGGCAGAGTAGTATGTGTGTGAATGGGGTGTGTGCATTGCACGTTCAATCCTGCCCCTTGTGACAAAAAAAAAATTCTTTGACATATTTTTTTTAATCTCAATCACAATTCTTATCTTTTATTTTTAGGAATTGGTACCAAGCGAACCTTAGGTCATTAGCATATGTTCTTCTAAATTCAGAAAAAGCACCCAAAAAAAAAAAACAGAGAGAGGAAGAATGGCGCGGCGTCTAAAAGGACGGCCACTACATAAAAGAAGCCACCATAAGTTGGTCTTGTTATCCTCATCACATGGCCACTTTCCCTTTCCATTCTTTATTTTCTATTTGTTGGATTAATTCCCTTTTTGGCATCACCACACGTCATTATGTCTTCCTCATATTATCTGGCATATATATATATATATATATATATATTCTGAAGCATACAATAATGAACAAAAATGCTTTTTTACATTCAATAAAATTCAAGTTGGTAAGAAGTGAGGTTTCGTTACTACTTCCGATCTTAAATATAAAATTTATTTTATAATATAAATTGTATTATCAATTAAATCTTATATTTAGAATTGGTAGAGGTAGTAAAAAAAGTTTGTTATGACCGCACTCAAAAAGTAAATTGTAGCTTGCTAAGATATATTAATTCAAACATTATAAGTTTATGGGATCTTTAGACACACACTCATGCCTCCTTTTAATTAATTATCAAATCCAGCCCTGTCGATATCAAATTAGATCAACTGATCATACGACACTTCACATTGTAGTAATTTAATTTGTAAGTCTGATATAATACTCTGGTAAGGCGTGGAATATAAATCTCCCGAGCTTGAGTTGGTTTTGGAGGGGAAAATAACAGTGAAGAAGAAAAGTCCGAGAAAGAATGATGGGGGGTAAACTCGCATTACATCAAACACGTGAGCTGCATCATCTGTATTCTCGTCACAAATCAATAGATCAATCCATACACATAATAAAATTTATATTACCATTCCTTACCTCGTGGAAGGAACTATCGCATCTGACAAAACCATCAAGAGCCAAACACATAATTTTATGCTTAAGTAAGATTATCTAAGGAGGCGCTTAACAATGTCAATTAGAATTAGAGCCAGAACGTTAAAGGTATAAATAGTCGTTTTGCGCTTTTACTAAGAGATCAGGAGCAGTGGTTTTTGTATAAAAATATATCTCTGATCCTTAATATAAGACCTCGTTCGACTTTTATTTTGGTTCTAAATATAAGACCCTAATTCATTTTGTCTTCATATTTAAACATTTTTTCTTAAGGTAATCTTTCTAACAATTGTAGTTCTAGTTAATACACTTGATTAGCAAAAGTATTTTAGGAAAGACAACACTTATTTATTACAAATAACTACTTAACTTATTTCTTTAATCTCTTTAAATTAGTCAACTAGTTCTTATAATTGAGACCGTAAGTAGTACTTTTTTGTATTGATTTATTTCAAGGATTTCTTCAGATTTTGAAGCTATTGATATGGTTTTTATCAAAACAATCTGAGCCTAAACCATCAAGAGCAGTCCCAGAAGACCACCTTTTCCATCGAAGCACCCAAGGCAGCCAAAAGATTAACCCATGTGCCAAATAAATCATAGCCAGACATAACCAGGGTCAAGATGGTAGCATCTTGTGTCTGTCTCAGCTTCTTGAAAATATGAAAAACGAACAAATAACCATAAATCCTAACCCTACAAATAAACAAATTATCGAGGTATATACATAAATTAGCTCAGAAAAACTCAACCAACAATGACCTCATACTAACTAGTCCTTAATATAAGAACTAATTGACTAATTTAAATAGATTAAGAAAATTATATAAGTTAGTGATTTTGTAATAAACATGTAATATCTTTCCCAAAAATGATATTAATTAACTCTGTATATGTTTTGAGAAATAAGTAATATTGATATATTAACAATATATTTAAATATTTTCTCCACCGATGACGATGACGACTCCAAACAAAACTCTTTATTACGTCAAAGATATGCCATACTGTTTTTATTCTCATTTAGCTCTCAAATTGCGACAATTCGTATGCTCGTCAACATGCTTAAATATGCAACTTTGCTTCATCGCCTGTCAATTATCCAGTTGATAAAATTACATTTAAGTCCCCAGATTTCCCCCCCCCCCAAAAAGGGATTATGTTGATTTTTCATTAAACTTCTAATTATACTTTTTTTAAATTACTAATACATCTCAAATGAATTATTAAATTAATCAATCAATCCATATAAAGTTTGATAGAACTTTGGTACCGAAAAATGACTATAATGTTTAAATCCATTTGCTTCAAATTTTGTTATCAAAGTTTTTAAATATATTTTGTCCAATTTACGAGAATAAAATCCAGACATAGCCCTTGGCCCTTTAAAAAAAAAAAAAAACAGACGCAGCCATAGGCACCGTAATTTTAGAAAGAAGTATACATAATTCCAAATTTCATGGTCAAAATATTCCACAAAAGATATTCAAATTCAAAAATATTATTTATAAATGAAATTTTAAACCATCACCAAAAGTATAATGTTTCTTAACATTTTGGTCATTTCGTTGTTCTTAACTAAGAGATTTTAATTAAAATTAACTAGTGTGGCCGCGTGGGTTTTATGCAACTGGCCTAAAAAAGTAATAAAAATTTTAAAAATATCACGGCATCATTTTTTTAAAAATAAGATAATAAAGAGAAGAGGATCAAAGTGCAATAAATGTGGATGTATGCCTACAATTTTGGCACTGAAAAGAATGGAGATATTGCGCAATTAGATTCAAATGTTGCAGAAAAAATATGAAAATAAATTAGAAAATCGATTGTTTCCCCTTTAAGAAACACCAACTTCACATCGTAATA